CACCTTGCCCGCACGTGAAGATGTAGTCGGTGGTTTCACCGTCCGGTCCAACCTCTGCGTCAAGGCACAGAAATGCTTTTCATATCCAGACTTCAAACACACAGGAGCCCTGCATGCAGCAAATTGAGGCGTGATGTTTCCCAACCCACCGGCTATTTATTGGGCGGCACACAGAAAGAGAGAGAGAGAGAGCGCGCTCATTAAGGGCCTGAATGATGGGCGCCGAGAGCCACGTGCACCGCCCCAAAGCCTGATTGCTTGGGCCGCTGCACAATAATGAGCGGCGATTAGCAGGTGCTCGGATGAGCCGCAGACCCAGCACCGACCCAGCGCCGACCCAATGCAGAATCGATGCGCTTGCGCGCCGAGCGGGCCTTTGAAGCGGCCCCACTCATTAACGTACCGGCAACACTTAAACACACCACGATATTTTCGAGGCGTGTTGCAGGTCACGCGCCCGTGTAATAATGCACGGACGGATCTTCGAACGGCGCGGAGGTTGTGTGCGTGCGACCTGTCGTCCTCCTGTGTGCGTGCCATGACGACAGGTCGTTGCCCCGAAACGTCGCCAATTATATGTTCTTCCTCTTTAGGTGACAAGCACCCCCCCCCCCCCCCCCCCGGATTTACTGACGAAATGCGTCGAGTTTTTGTTATTGATGTTTAGTCGTTTGATTCAGTTTGTAGATCAACGTCAAAAGCAAATCCGTGACACATTATGAGGCTTCATTGTTGTGAATAATATATGTATACATTTGTTTGTGTTATTTATATTTTTAAAACCATCAAAGTCATAGAGGTCTGAGCAGGATTCATCTCTTGTGGAGAAAATAATTTATAAAGAAATTTGCTCATCTGGTTATTGAAAGTCAAAGTGTCTGATTCACATGCTGACTTGTGTTCATTTTGAATGGAAACTAGCCAGCAATCGCCATCAAAAATAAAGATCCCCCGTATAGCCTGAACAGACTGCAGAGGCAAGTGGTGTTAGTGAGCACCTATGAAGGCCGGCGCAGCACATGATGTGATGGGTGGCCAGCACCATGCCTTTGTCTCCCTGGTGGCGATGTTTACACATCGCACACTAGGTTCTCATTTGATGCTGAGTCGACCTAGGGGAGACCCAGGACTGATGCAGGTAATCGTCACTGCTGTTGGCCGTGAGTGGGATTCGAACTTCGGGTCGCCGGGGTTTGTAGTGCAGCGCACTAACCGCTGCGCAAAGCATACACACACGTCGGGTAAATCGTCAAGGCGATTCATTTCAGCTCTTTTGTCAATGTGAGAATCTTATCTCATGTATATTGATATACCGCCTAAATCCATGGCGCTTTGCAACAAGTATTGCATTGTACATGGGATGATAGTGAAATTTTTTGCTTAAAACTTTCGTGAATGCAGGAATTCATATTCTTGGTTCTTTCTTTTCTATCTACGTGACTTTACCAAAAGAACCAAGAGTAAGATGATCGTGGTTAAAAGAAAGAGTGGGGTTATTCAAACTGGTGTTTTTATGGTGACAGGAGGATAGGTGAGAGCGGTTAAGGGAGGGATAGTGATAGGGTTTGGGGTAGTGATAGAGAATAGGCGAAGTGGTTGGGGTAGTGATAGGGGTTGGGGTAGTGATCGGGGTTTGGGTAGTGATAGGGGTTGGGGGTAGTGATAGGGGTTGGGGGTAGTAATAGGGGTAGTGAAATGGGTAGTGAAAGGAATAGGGGGGTAGGCCTGGTTGTAGCTGGGGGCCTGGGGCAGGGATTGGCAGTATACTTTGTTCGACGGTGGATCTCTACTTAAACGAACCACCAGGACGGGACTCATCACCGCTAGTGCTCTTAAACGATTGGTGAAAATAGCACATTCCCATGGCAAGGACCAGGGTGTGCACAGGAAAACTGCCGTTTGATTCTTCTTAAATTGGTATTCGTTTAATTGGTTTCGAAGGACGCTGGGCTGAGTCAACCCATTACCAATATTTTAATTTGCAAGCTTCTGATTGAGCTTGAGAGCTCTAACCGCAGGGACCAACTGGCCAATTTAATAATTACCCCTCATACTTTTCATATGCATTCACGATTGGATAATATGTGGGGGAAAAAATACACTTGCAGATGGTTGGTTAGTCTTTTGGAATTGTGAAATAAATTGTTGGAAGGAGTCCCTCGTTCGTGCTGATTGGCAATAGCTTAGGATATTGCGAGTTTGCATTTTGATTTAAATAAGCCAATTTCAAAACATTTTGAGGTTATGAAAGGCTCTTAGTTAATCTGATTTTACATTACCTTTTCATTCTAAACAATCATGAGAAAAAAAATCCTCCGTGTTATTTTTTACAATCTTCTGTCTAGGTAACTAGGGCGTGAACTGCCTGGCTTCCGCAATCCAGATCATTCCTCTTGATGAGAGTCGATGCGTTTCCTGTGAAAAATGTTATCTATTTTTTTACTCGTGTGTAATTTGCATTCTCTTGCCTGGTAGCAATTGATGCATCGAATTTTCCATCACCGTTATTGTCTTTGTCGTTGCAGTTGTTGAAATGGTAGCTCGCAGTCCTATCTTAGCTTGACTGAGTAATAAAAGATTTGTTAACTGATCGTTCTCGTGGTTTTCAGGTTCTAAAATACACCCTGAATGCACGAAAACCGCTCAGTTGTTTTAAAATGTGCTGCGTAGTTGGTCGCCTAAAAATCAATTCATCCGTGTGGTTTTGTAAGAGAGCACTCGACTTGGCTGTGAGATTTTAAGGTTTGTCAGTTGATTCCGGCCATCGTCCTACCAAGCTCAATATAAATGGGGCCGTATCTTTTGGTGACATTAGCAGCGGTTGTTCTTGTACACGGAATGAACTTTGTGATGAGATGTTTGATTAAAGCAGTATAGAATCAATGCCCCCTGTTACTGTCCTGGTGAGAGAGCTGGAGTTTAACAAAGCGAGCAGGAAATCTGTTCCCGACTCGTGGCAGAACACGCTATAAATGTGATGGCAAGGTGCAGGACAAGACGTTGGGGAGTTTGATAGAGAGGATGGTAACAAAACTATTGTGGAAATAATCAAGGGGGGGAGGGGAGGTTGCGATATATGTGGGACACGTGTGCCGGGCGGAGGTCAGGTCACCGAGACGGGCATTGGAGTGGTTACCCACAGGTCGAGGATGAAAGTGAGGACCCAAAGTCAAATGATGGGTGACTATAATGGCAGACTTTGGAAGTCAGGTGTCAGCTGTGCAAGAGAAGCAGGCACGGTGTGGTGGCATCAATGACATTGTCCATTAGCCACGATAACCTCTTGATCATCGCAATGTAGGATTTCCATCATTGCGCATCGAGATGAGCTCCACCCAACGTCTATGTATATGCACATGCTAACAATAATAATTGACATTTCTAAGGCGTATTTCATCCGTAGATTCCAAAACGCCACCGTGTATGGAAAACAGGACATCAAGAGAACCTGCAGGGTAAACGGCCAGAACTATGGAGGGTAAAGGTCGGTTTGAAGAGGCGAGTTTTCAACACGGGACTTAAGTAGCTCCAAACATCTCTGATGGTCTTCTTACCAAAAGCAAAGCGTTTTGTCATACCACGACACCAGTGGAAGTCCCTAGTTAGTGAGTTTGGGCATATTATCTGTGCCCGGTTCGGCTTGGCTAAGCCGAAGCACTTTGTGTGGGACACCGCCACCTCTGATTATTGCCAGGCGATGCAGAGGATTGCTGCTTGGTTTTCCGGTGCCAACTTTCCCCACCCCTCCCTCGATGCAAAATTCAAATTGACCACTTGAACAAATCTTTTTTTTGCATACTTTTCATTGGTTTAAAAAAAAGAATACAACTTGTTGAAATTTGTCGCGCATTTTCTGCTCGAGTGAACGATATAATTGCGGGAAGCCTTGCCCTTTGACACCTGGCAGGCCTTGCATTGTGGGATGGCAACAACCCGTGTGATGTAAAGTCTACGAAAATTGTGTAGCTTTAAGTACGCCTGTTGTTTTGCATTGTGCTGATAGCAAATGTATTCATCATCATCATAATCCATCGTCAATCTACTGCGGTATGAAAGCCGTCCCAAACTGCCGCCATTATCCCTGCAGGATCCAGCGTCACACTCTCTGTACATGAATCAAAATGGTTTTGCATTGGAACTGATACTATTATCATAATAGTAACCGTATTGATCGTGATAATTGTCAATAATGGAAGGTTTTATCAATAGTAAAAAGTGGACAATTCGTTTTTCTCGTCTCAACGGAGTAAATAATTGGATGACGTTTTAGCTTATGAGCCTGAGCCTGCGGTGGAAACTCTATATTCCCTTGACAGGAGCCAGGATGTTCGTAGATTGATTCCTCCTTGGTTGTTGGGTTGGATCGTGTAAGCATTGCAACCGCCTAATTGTGGGTCGAGTGCGCGAATCAAAGGGGGCCTTCTGGCCAGATCGTGTCTTGAGTGCGTGTGTCGGGGTGAACGCCCTCCAACAGCAACGAAGGGGCAGAGGAGCGATGCTCATAACAACGAACGGAGCAAGTTGAGACAGGGGGGTACAGGTCGTGCACCTCTAGATTTGAAGCTTTCGTGACTGCAAGGATCCATACTCTTTGGTTCTATTCAGTAAAGTCACGTAGGTTTCACTCCAGCGCTGTCCTCGAGACAGCCTGGTCCCTTCACCTGATGAAGGCCGCTTGTGTTGTGGCCGAAACGTCGTGATTTTTGTTGTTTTATTTTTTGCCTACGTGACTTCACCGAATAGAACCAAAGAGTAAGGTCGTGCACCTGCCAGTCATCTTAGTTACACGAACCTGTGGCACCTGCTGGGAGTCCCGTGACCTACTGTCGGCGAGCCGTCGACACTTCACGCGGCCTCAAAGTGCGCCTGGCGCAGGCGCAGGCGCCGTTGGTGACGTCACCGTCACATAGTGGCGAATGGCGGGCGTTGGTATTGGTGTGAACGCTCACTTTGTGTTGTTTCCGAAATGACCGTGTTGCCTCGCCTTCTCCGTCTTTCAGGGCCTTCGTGCCTCTCGAGCCACCCACTGACACCAACTCGACGGAATGGGAAAAGTTGGAGTATCTGTTTCAGGAGCTCGGCAGTGGACGTGAGTATAGCGCGAGCTCCTCGTGCGTCGCCGTCGGTTCCGTGAACGGTCGTTCTCAGAAGCCGGCTCAGCTGTATCGGGCAGGGACCTTGAGCATTTTTTTTTTTGTCGAGCGGTGGAAGCCTTCGAGATACCTCGTTTCCAGAACACGTTTAATTTGTGCCAGACCATCGCCCTTGCTTGTTCCAGTTCCCTGCCCCAAGCTGTTCTCTGATCTCGCGATTTCAACGCAATACAGCGTGGATTCTCGCCTGATTTTAATTTACATCACGCCTGAAACAAGGCGCTTAACGTAGAATTACTTGTTTGTACACCAGAATCGTGAGTTGAGATGAGACGAGTTGATGAGAAGGGGATGGTGGTGCATGAATATGGTGATGCGTGAAATGATCCTTATGACGGTACCCCGGGGTACCAAATAAAACAAAATGGCCGAGGCAATTAAATATTTTATTTCTGGTACAATATCTTTTTGCAGGTGTGTTACTTAACTCCGCGACTGGGGTACCAATCAATCCGAAATCAGTGCTCCTCCGCGATGTCGAAACGCAGCGAGGACGATTTAGCCGAAGCCCTGAACGCTCGTACGAACCGTAGTGGTGCATCGTGTGCAGCTCGTCGATGATGAGTCGATTGCCGCATCGCCGACCATCAACAGACTCAAAATGACTGCGTCACGGACATTACGCGAGAGCCGGCGTACTATGGTGCCCCGGGGTACCCGCCGTAAGGTTAAAATAAACGACAATGAAAGTGACAATGAGTGGTTGATGATGAGTGGGTGTGATGAATGGATAGGGAAGTTGGGAAGAGGGATGGAGTTTGCACCTGCGGTTAGCACGGTCGGCTACGTACGGTTCGGAAAGAAGTTCAGCATACATACATAATTATGGGGAAGGGAGGAGGGGAAGTTTGGGCAGAGGGGTTGATGGAACGGTGGCGCAATGGTTAGTAATTTGCGCAAGGAACCCCGTGACCCGATTGATTCCCGGCCACATCTAAACATATCTGAACTCGTCCGTTGCAGCTTTAGCGTCAACCCATACTCACCAGTGTGGTGAAGTATGGTAAAACCATCCTCATGACGGAAAGACGTAGGGAAGGCCTTCATATAGTAGCGGATAGACAAAAAGAGCTGTGGATGACTGTTGCGTTAGTGGTGCCTAAGCACAACCGCAACTTAAGACTCGGCACTAAACAGTGGGGCGTGCATCACGGGATAAGGGAGGGGTATCGGAACCAGAGTGATTTCTCGATTAATCTGGGGTAATTTCGGGGGTTGGGCGGTGGCCCGGATAAAACGAAACGACGGATAACGCATATCATGTATAAATTAGGCTATAAACGCTTATTTATTGTTCACCTACGTGCAGTCGGGGTTAAGACGTAGAATGTGCCGTCTGTTTTTATTGTTTCTTAAAGTAATGGTTTTTGCGGGATCGTCAGTCACTGAACAGCAGTGAGTAAGGAGCAGCGAGCAGCATCTGTGTGAAGGCGTAAGGAGATGTAATTTTTCACAAGCCCAGTCAATCCGTAACCCAGATAAATCCGCCCATTGATAATCAAGGGGTCAGTGCACATTTTCTTTGAGTAAGGAACGAGCTCGTAGGTGGAGGATAGGACGAAAGCCTGGAGCCTGTGCCTGGACATAAACGAGGGGAATCCACAGTGTGGGAGGGAATTCTAGGCCGTGGAGTCGGCAGAGGAGAAGGGGGGTGACGTCTCACAGAGCAAAAGGTTTAACTTGGGGCTTTGACACAAGGCCTTGGTTGCTAGAGTTGAAAGGGGGAAAGTGGAGCAGGGGCGAGTTGAGGGTGATGGAAATCTTGGGGTTGATCTAGGACTTCATTCGGAGCCATTGAGGGATCAGAGTATTGTGGTGTGATGTGGTCTTGTTTATAGGCACAGGTGTGAGAAGTCTGGCAATGGAATTATGGATAATTTGGTGATTGAAGATGAGGGATTCGGGGATAAATCGTGACGTTTGATACGGCGGGCGTTGATATGCCCATTTCGCTATCAACTTGAAATCCCGGACGGTGGATCGACTCGGCCCATCACCTCTTCATGGCCGATAAAATGGATTATCATCATGTGGAAATTTATTGCAGCCAAATACTCGAAACGCACGATGTTGATTCTCAATGTGGAGGGAAAAACCGGAGGACCCGGAGAAAATACATCGCGACCACGGGCAGAAGATGCAAACTCCAAATATCCAGCCGCCGTGGTCAGGATCAGACCCACGACCTCCCGTATACCGGGCGAGGTAGTTAACATCTGGCCACCATTGGCGATCCAAACAAGGTTCTCAGGTAGTCCCCGACTTACGATGGTCCGAATTACGATATTTTCGACTTACGATGGGGTCGTCGTAACGCATCTCCATCGTAAGTCGGGGACTACCTGTAGTTGTACTCTTTAGCGACAGCATTCTGCCTGTGAGTGCTAAGGCTTTGTCAGCTGTTGGACTCTTAACATTTGCAGTGTTTAGTGTGGACTACAGTGAGGGAAAAAGTATTTGATCCCCTGCTGATTTTTGTACGTTTGCCCACTGACAAAGAAATGATCAGTCTATAATTTTAATGGTAGGTTTATTTGAACAGTGAGAGACAGAATGACAACAACAAATTCCAGAAAAACGCATGTCAAAAATGTTATAAATTGATTTGCATTTTAATGAGGCAAATACGTATTTGACCCCCTCTCAATCAGAAAGATTTCTGGCTCCCAGGTGTCTTTTATACAGGTAACGAGCTGAGATTAGGACCACACTCTTAAAGGGAGTGCTCCTAATCTCAGCTTGTTACCTGTATAAAAGACACCTGTCCACAGAAGCAATCAATCAATCAGATTCCAAACTCTCCACCATGGCCAAGACCAAAGAGCTCTCCAAGGATGTCAGGGACAAGCTTGTAGACCTGCACAAGGCTGGAATGGGCTACAAGACCATTTGGCATCAACTCAACTCGCCGTGTTTGGAGGAGGAGGAATGCTGCCTATGACCCCAAAAACACCATCCCCACCGTCAAACATGGAGGTGGAAACATTATGCTTTGGGGGTGTTTTTCTGCTAAGGAGACAGGACAACTTCACCGCATCAAAGGGACGATGGATGGGGCCATGAACCGTCAAATCTTGGTTGAGAACCTCCTTCCCTCAGCCAGGGCATTGAAAATGGGTCGTGGATGGGTATTCCAGCATGACAATGACCCAAATCACACGGCCAAGGCAACAAAGGAGTGGCTCAAGAAGAAGCACATTAAGGTCCTGGAGTGGCCTAGCCAGTCTCCAGACCTTAATCCCATAGAAAATCTGTGGAGAGAGCTGAAGGTTCGAGTTGCCAAACGTCAGCCTCGAAACCTTAATTACTTGGAGAAGATCTGCAAAGAGGAGTGGGACAAAATTCCTCCTGAGATGTGTGCAAAACTGGTGGCCAACTACAAGAAACGTCTGACCTCTGTGATTGCCAACAAGGGTTTTGCCACCAAGTACTAAGTCATGTTTTGCAGAGGGGTCAAATACTTATTTCCTTCATTAAAATGCAAATCAATTTCTAACATTTTTGACATGCGTTTTTCTGGATTTTTGTTGTTGTTATTCTGTCTCTCACTGTTCAAATAAACCTACCATTAAAATTATAGACTGGTCATTTCTTTGTCAGTGGGCAAACGTACAAAATCAGCAGGGGATCAAATACTTTTTTTCCCTCACTGTATACGTACGTGTGCATGCTTGTGTACGTACCTACTAGGGTTGCTTACCCTTGAAGCAATTCCAGGTGATTTTTGTTTTTTTTCTCCAACAACATGTCATTAATTTTACCGTTTGGCTCGTTCACAATTTCAAGCCATCGTGGTATTGTGTGTGGAGTGTAAGGAGTGTCATTTGCATATGTACAAAAATTATATACCGTACTTATACACCATTAAGATATTACCTTTTGAATCTTGATTAAGAAATGCTACAAAACTGAGTTAGGTAAAGAATGTCCAGTATTAGTTCGCAAACATTGCTCTCGATATGCCCCTCACCACCACCACCATTCATGTTTTTGCGGTTTAGTTTTGAACTGTTACCGAAATAGCGAGGTAGAAAGTATGCACGAGGTAAGAAATTAAAATATAAAACAAGACGTGTTTCCATGAAGACAACTTCAATGTAATTTTCGTGTGCGTGTGTATATATACACACACGTGTCTTTTTGGAGCTAGCTTACAGGTGAATTACGGTTGCACTGTCTACTTAGTTTGTTCTTATGAACGCATTGTTTGGGCCAAGAACTTTCTCCCATGAATATTGAAACAAATCTGTTGCAAGTTAAAGCTAGCGTACTTTGAAGATGTTATCCAAACTAAGATAAATTGTACCCAGCTGAAACGCGGCACTGTTTAATCCGAATAAACCATTATATATATTTGTAAAGGCTCGTGATTCTGCTTGGGAGCATTCTACGTTGTCACTTTTACGAGCACACCGCAGACGAGGAAACGGCTCCGTGACGTACGGCTTTTGTGAAGCTAATTTCAGTTTTTATTTCCGTTTCATGGCAAAGAAATGGCAGTTAGACCCACCGCCTGAATTGAGAAATCTCATCGTGTTCCGTAAACTTTGAAAGTGATTTCCGCGACAACTGTGAATGCCCGTTGTCGAGGCAATTACCTCGAGTTACGCAAAGCATTCGCCCCGACGGCTGGATGCAACAATTTGTAAAAGCCTCTCTCGAGACCGCACTTGTTTAATTATTTACCAGTTTGTTGTTGTTGAAATTTTTTTTTTTTACCGCGATTTCTGAATAATGTTTGCCAAAACCTGTCGGCCACTTTCCGGTAACGAGGAAAGATGACTGCAAGGAAATTTTCTTCATATGAGGACACACACACACACACGCGCGCGTTGACGAATAGCCTTCGGTTAGCCTAAGAGATTGCTGGGGCAAGTTATGTCGGCGAGCGTCTATTAAGGTTGGCGGATCTTATATCGTATGACGTATAGTAGTA